ACAGACTACACTATAGACTAGACTATAGACTGGACTATGGGCTAGACTATAGATTACACTATAGATTAGTTTATAGATTAGACTATAGACTAAACTAAAGACGAAAGTATAAACTAGACTATAGACTAGACTATAGACTAGACTATAGACTAGACTATAGACTAGACTATAGACTAGACTATAGACTAGACTATAGACTAGACTATAGACTAGACTATAGACTAGACTATAGACTAGACTATAGACTAGACTATAGACTAGACTATAGACTAGACTATAGACTAGACATAGACTACTATAGACTAGACTAGACTATAGACTACATACTACAGACTAGACTATAGACTAGACTATAGACTACACTATAGACTAGACTATAGACTAGACTATAGACTAGACTATAGACTAGACTATAGACTAGACTATAGACTAGACTATAGACTAGACTATAGACTAGACTATAGACTAGACTATAGACTAGACTATAGACTAGACTATAGACTAGACTATAGACTAGACTAAAGACTAGACTATAGACTAGACTATAGACTAGAGATAAAGCTAGACTAGACTAGACTATAGACTAGACTAGCTAGACTATAGACTTCAGACTATAGACTAGACTATAGACTAGACTATAGACTAGACTATAGACTAGACTATAGACCTAGACTATAGCTAGATAGACTTAGACTAGACTATAGACTAGACTATAGACTAGACTATAGACTAGAACTATAGACTAGACTATAGACTAGACTATAGACTAGACTATAGACTAGACTATAGACTAGACTATAGACTAGACTATAGACTAGACTATAGACTTGACTATAGACTAGACTATAGACTAGACTATAGACTAGATTATAGCTAGACTATAGACTAGACTATAGACTAGACTATAGACTAGACTAGACTATAGACTAGCCTATAGACTAGACTATAGACTAGACTATAGACTAGACATAGAACTAGACTATCGACTAGACTATAGACTAGACTATAGACTAGACTATAGACTAGACTATAGACTAGACTATAGACTAGACTAGACTAGATACTAGGACTATAGACTAGACTAGCTAGACTAGACATAGACTAGACTAGACTATAGACTAGACTAGACTATAGACTAGACTAGACTATAGACTAGACTAGACTATAGACTAGACTAGACTATAGACTTAGACTAGACTATAGACTAGACTAGACTAGACTAGACTAGACTATAGACTGGACTATAGACTAGACTATAGACTAGACTATAGACTAGACTATAGACTAGACTATAGACTAGACTATAGACTAGACTATAGACTAGACTATAGACTAGACTATAGACTAGACTATAGACTAGACTATAGACTAGACTATAGACTAGACTATAGACTAGACTATAGACTAGACTATAGACTAGACTATCTAGACTAATAGACTAGACTATAGACTAGACTATAGACTAGACTATAGACTAGACTATAGACTAGACTATAGACTAGACTATAGACTAGACTATAGACTAGACTATAGACTAGACTTTAGACTAGACTATAGACTAGACTATAGAGTAGACTAGTAGACTAGACTATAGACTAGACTATAGACTAGACTATAGAAGTAGACTATAGACTAGACTATAGACTAGACTATCGACTAGACTATAGACTAGACTATGACTAGATAGACTATAGACTAGACTAGACTATAGACTAGACTAGACTATAGACTATAGACTAGACTAGACTATAGACTAGACTATAGACTAGACTAGACTACACTCGACTAGACTATAGGACTATAGACTATAGACTATAGACTATAGACTAGACTATAGACTAGACTATAGACTGGACTATAGACTAGGACTATAGACTAGACTATAGACTAGACTATAGCTCTAGACTATAGACTAGACTATAGACTAGACTATAGACTAGACTATAGACTAGACTATAGACTAGACTATAGACTAGACTATAGACTAGACTATAGACTAGACTATAGACTAGACTATAGACTAGGACTATAGACTAGGACTATAGACTAGACTATAGACTAGACTATAGACTAGACTATAGACTAGACTATAGACTAGACTATAGACTAGACTATAGATAGACTTAGACTAGACTAGACTATAGACTAGACTATAGACTAGACTATAGAGTAGAGACTATAGACTAGACTATAGACTAGACTATAGACTAGACTATAGACTAGACTATAGACTAGACATAGACTATGACTATAGACTAGAATATAGACTAGACTATAGACTAGACTATGACTAGACTATAGACCAGACTATAGACTAGACTATAGACTAGACTATAGACTAGCACTATAGACTTTTGTGCCTTCCAGATTATAGAAAGATTTGGTAAATTTCAAGAAAATTGGCTCATACATTAGCTGTCTATAGTATCAAAGGTAACACATTCTAGTGATGTATTTATTAAATTTAGTGTGTTGCCTTTTATGTTTATAACAAATTGTTACACATACGTATGAGTAATTTTGAGTAATATTACAATAAATATTAAGTATACGCTAATTTAAAGTTTATTTGCCGGAAATATATTTCAACAGTTAATATTAATTATTCAAATTTAACAAAAATTAATAAAAAGATTTAAAATGAAAATTTTTTGTATTTAAATACAAAATAGCTAATTATTAATTATAAGCAAGCTAAATTTGAACTAACATATTTACAACAAAACTAAATTTACATAAATGTAAACATAAACATACTTAAATATGTTTACATAAAATAATAATAAAAGAAAAACAAACAGAAACACAAAAACACACCTAAATTAAAATACATATGTACAAACATTTGTAAATTTTGTTATTGTTGCTGTATTAACAAGAAAAAAAAAATAAAGAAAAAAAATTAGACATTGAAGAAAATGAATTAAACAAAAAACAAATATCAACAAAATGTTAAACACAAATAAAAACATTCGTAACATTAATGAAACAAAAAGCAACAATAACAAACACAAAAACAATGTTTTGAATTTCAAATTTTGTATAAATTGTTAATAAACATGTTTTCTTATTGTTCGTCTACTGCTTTTGGTTTTACAGTTATATTTTTTGCATACAGAGAAGATAGACGACACCAAACACAACTAAAAGGGCGACGAGAGAACGCAAAACGAACGTACGGAGGACAGAGCCAACCAATCAACAAAACCAACACACCAACATCATCAACCAACAACCATTACAAAATGTGGTATGTATGAATTATAAATAAAGAAAACAAACAAACAACAATAACAGAAGTCAAGTAATACAGTATAGTCGGCCATGGCCGTCCATATGATACCCTACACCAAGTATTAGTACTTTTTTCTTGGGAATTATCTTAATACTGCATTTTAATTTGTATGTTTTGAGATTTAATATTATAGACTAGACTACACTAGACTATAGACTAGACTATAGACTAGACTATAGACTAGACTATAGACTAGACTAGACTAGACTATAGACTAGACTATAGACTAGACTATAGACTAGACTATAGACTAGACTATAGACTAGACTATAGACTAGACTATAGACTAGACTATAGACTAGACTATAGACTAGACATAGACTAGACTATAGACTAGACTATAGACTAGACTATAGACTAAACTATAGACTATAGACTAGACTATAGAGACTAGACTATAGACTAGACTATAGACTAGACTATAGACTAGACTATAGACTAGACTATAGACTAGACTATAGACTAGACTATAGACTAGACTATAGACTAGACTATAGACTAGGACTATAGACTAGACTATAGACTAGACTATAGACTAGACTATAGACTAGACTAGACTATAGACTAGACTATAGACTAGACTATAGACTAGACTATAGACTAGACTATAGACTAGACTATAGACTAGACTATAGACTAGACTATAGACTAGACTATAGACTAGACTATAGACTAGACTATAGACTAGACAATAGACTAGACTATAGACTAGACTATAGACTAGACTATAGACTAAACTATAGACTAGACTATAGAGACTAGACTATAGACTAGACTATAGACTAGACTATAGACTAGACTAAAGACTAGACTATAGACTAGACTATAGACTAGACTATAGACTAGACTATAGACTAGACTATAGACTAGACTATAGACTAGACTATAGACTAGACTATAGACTAGACTATAGACTAGACTATAGACTAGACTATAGACTAGACTATAGACTAGACTGTAGACTAGACTATAGACTAGACTATAGAATAGACTATAGACTAGACTATAGAGACTAGACTATAGACTAGACTATAGAGACTAGACTCTAGACTATAGAGACTAGACTATAGACTAGACTATAGAGACTAGACTATAGACTAGACTATAGAGACTAGACTATAGACTAGACTATAGAGACTAGACTATAGACTAGACTATAGAGACTAGACTATAGACTAGACTATAGAGACTAGACTATAGACTAGACTATAGAGACTAGACTATAGATTAGACCATAGACTAGTCTAGTCTATATTATATATAGTGTATAGATATTATATAATCTAGTCTAGAGTACCTTTCATGCGAGAATATGTGGATACTAAGACAGACGAGGCGATTGCTATATCGATTCAGAAAGCTATTTTGAGCGTATTGGTACTATAGTGGTGTAGGGTATAATAAAACAAATAAGAATCAAGTCAAACAATAACAACAACATAGTATTCAGACACAGTTATTTCTTTCACTTATATACATATATGTATCTCAGAAAAAACGAAACCAAATGAATAAAAAATTATGAAAAAAAGAACATTCAAAAGAGGAAGAAAAAACAAATGAATACATTTAATAAAACATACATGTACGCACAAACACACATACACAAGACTGTGTGAATGAATTTCAAGAAAATTTTTTTTTTAAAGTAGTAGTAAACAAATTTTTTTTAATAGAATTTAAAATACTTTAAACGTTTACGCACCAATTTAATAACAATCAATGTCAAAACCTTAAGAAATGTTCAGCAAAGGTTGAGTTGTAAAAAAAATACACACACTCACAACCAAAATACTCCAACAAACGCACAAGCACTAGTTTGTCGCAGGCGTGTGGGGCGAGAGAGAGTCACAAGCAAGGATATCAGCAAAGCAGTAGAGTTAAAGTTGAAAAAATTTCCTTTTGTTGATTTTTACTTGTTGTTGCTGCTGCTGTTGTATTTTTGTTACTTTTTCAGTGTTTTTCGGTTGGTTTTAGATTTCAAGCTGTTAAATGTTGTACTTATTTACGACACTGAAAGGTTTTTTATTACAAGTTTACACAAGTTAATAATTTGGGTATTTATTTACGAGTAGGAGTTTATTTTTATTATTATTTCGATATATTTTTGTTGTTTTCTTTTTTGTTAGATTTTTTTTTTGTATTCGACTATTTTTACACAATAGATCAATAGATTAATGATTAGTTATATATTGTTGAAATTGCTAAAAACGTGGGTTTGGAATTGTTAGTTTTTTGATATTTTTTGTTTTCACTTTACTTCGCTTTATATAGCTGGTTTGAAAAGTAGGGTGTTATGATCAAACATTTAATAAAATATCAGTTACATTTTAGTATCTAATCGTTTTTATTTTGTTTTAAAGTACTTCTTATATTTTGATATAAAATCAATAGTTAACTATACATATGATGTCATCTGAGTACACTTTTGAAGGTAAAATGAAAAGACTATAGACTAGCTAGAAATAGACTAGACTATCGACTAGACTGGACTGTAGACTAGACTATACCCTAGACTATAGACGACTAGACTAGACTATAGACTAGACTATAGGACTACTAGACTAGCTATAGACTAGACTATAGACTAGACTATAGACTAGACTATAGATCTAGACTATAGACTAGACTATAGACCTAGACTATAGACTAGACTATAGACTAGAACTATAGACTAGACTATAGAACTAGACTACTATCGACTAGACTATAGACTAGACTATAGACTAGACTATAGACTAGACTATAGACTAGACTATAGACTAGACTATTTAGACTAGACTAGACTATAGACTAGACTATAGACTAGACTATAGACTAGACTATAGACTAGACTATAGACTAGACTATAGACTAGACTATAGACTAGACTATAGACTAGACTATAGACTAGACTATAGACTAGACTATAGACTAGACTATAGACTAGACAATAGACTAGACTATAGACTAGACTATAGACTAGACTATAGACTAGACTATAGACTAGACTATAGACTAGACTATAGACTAGACTATAGACTAGACTATAGACTAGACTATAGACTAGACTATAGACTAGACTATAGACTAGACTATAGACTAGACTATAGACTAGACTATAGACTAGACTATAGACTAGACTATAGACTAGACTATAGACTAGACTATAGACTAGACTATAGACTAGACTATAGAGACTAGACTATAGACTAGACTATAGAGACTAGACTATAGACTAGACTATAGAGACTAGACTATAGACTAGACTATAGACTAGACTATAGACTAGACTATAGACTAGACTAGACTAGACTACTAGACTAGGACTAGACTATAGACTAGACTATAGACTAGGACTATAGACTAGACTATAGACTAGACTATAGACTAGACTATAGACTAGACTATAGACTAGACTATAGACTAGACTATAGACTAGACTATAGACTAGACTATAGACTAGACTATAGACTAGACTATAGACTAGACTAAGACTAGACTATAGACTAGACTATAGACTAGACTATAGACTAGACTATAGACTAGACTATAGACTAGACTATAGACTAACTAGACTAGACTATAGACTAGACTATAGACTAGACTATAGACTAGACTATAGACTAGACTATAGACTAGACTATAGGACTAAAGTACTAAAGTTACTAGTACAACATATGATGACTCTAGATGTTATAGTATTGCGGATATATAGGTTTAATAATTAATTAATATAGGAGAAGCCACGCCCACTAATGATAGTTGCAAACCGTTCATATGGATGTTGAAGTTGACCGGTCAGAATTTAAGTACTCTAGCTGTTATGACTTTCTATCTACAGGAATTTTAAATTTTGAAAAAGTCGTTATGTTTTAACTATAGAAGGTAGCTGTTTTACTATACGTATGAGTTATATTTAATTATTAAAAATTTATCATACGCAATAATCAGCCAGCAAAATTCGCCATAGTTTAACACATCATAAATTGATTTTAAAGATCAGAAGGACATTATACCGACTCTGAAAGTAAATTATTTTTGAATATTAAAACCATCAATTTAAACTATTTCGCTATGGGCTATGATAAAACTTTTAATTTTATTATTTTCTCTTAATAATTATGTATGTTTGCACTTCACAAGTTTATTTGTAAAGTCATTAACATCCGTAATTTCTCGATTGAAAATCCAGTTAAATATGACAGCAAATATTAATAAGTGTCCATTACATATTCAATCTCTTTTCATAATTAATCTCTATTTAAAAGAGATCATATACGATTACAGATTAATGTTAAATTAATTTAATCAAGGACATTAACCGCACATGCATATCATTTACACCACAAAATGAATTGGCAAAGGAAAATTAGAATGATTTATAGTGTGTGTGCAAAAAAGGGTTATTGTTTTGCCATAGTTTTGTCAATATGACCCATTTTGGTGATAATGTACAAACAAACAACATGTATAGAATTTCTTTATAAACTTGTATATTCAAATTTCCATTAAATTTATGTAAATATTGATTTAGTATAAAGAGGAGATTTCAATATAATTAATTAAACAAACAATACAACGACAATTAGCTTTGAGCCCTTTTTCGATGTTTAAACAAATCGTAAAAGTCAAGTTGCTATTAATTATGAATCAAGACGACATAAATACTTATTCAAAGAATAGTTCTGATGGCTTCCTTTTGGAACAATATACAAGTACTTAAAGTCGAAGGTCATGTCAACATGAGCAATTATTTTATGAGAATTTTTAGGGTTAGGGAATTGGAGGTCAAAGGACACAAAACTATTTTCTAATTCAGTTCTAGTTCAGTTCTAGTTCAGTTCTAGTTCAGTTCTAGTTCAGTTCTAGTTCAGTTCTAGTTCAGTTCTAGTTCAGTTCTAGTTCAGTTCTAGTTCAGTTCTAGTTCAGTTCTAGTTCAGTTCTAGTTCAGTTCTAGTTCAGTTCTAGTTCAGTTCTAGTTCAGTTCTAGTTCAGTTCTAGTTCAGTTCTAGTTCAGTTCTAGTTCAGTTCTAGTTCAGTTCTAGTTCAGTTCTAGTTCAGTTCTAGTTCAGTTCTAGTTCAGTTCTAGTTCAGTTCTAGTTCAGTTCTAGTTCAGTTCTAGTTCAGTTCTAGTTCAGTTCTAGTTCAGTTCTAGTTCAGTTCTAGTTCAGTTCTAGTTCAGTTCTAGTTCAGTTCTAGTTCAGTTCCAGTTCAGTTCTAGTTCAGTTCTAGTTCAGTTCTAGTTCAGTTCTAGTTCAGTTCTAGTTCAGTTCTAGTTCAGTTCTAGTTCAGTTCTAGTTCAGTTCTAGTTCAGTTCTAGTTCAGTTCTAGTTCAGTTCTAGTTCAGTTCTAGTTCAGTTCTAGTTCAGTTCTAGTTCAGTTCTAGTTCAGTTCTAGTTCAGTTCTAGTTCAGTTCTAGTTCAGTTCTAGTTCAGTTCTAGTTCAGTTCTAGTTCAGTTCTAGTTCAGTTCTAGTTCAGTTCTAGTTCAGTTCTAGTTCAGTTCTAGTTCAGTTCTAGTTCAGCTCTAGTTCAGTTCTAGTTCAGTTCTAGTTCAGTTCTAGTTCAGTTCTAGTTCAGTTCTAGTTCAGTTCTAGTTCAGTTCTAGTTCAGTTCTAGTTCAGTTCTAGTTCAGTTCTAGTTCAGTTCTAGTTCAGTTCTAGTTCAGTTCTAGTTCAGTTCTAGCTCAGTTCTATTTCAGCTCTATTTCAGCTCTAGTTCAGTTTTAGTTCAGTTCTAGTTCAGTTCTAGTTCAGTTCTAGTTCAATTCTAGTTCAGTTCTAGTTCAGTTCTAATTCAGTTCTAGTTCAGTTCTAGTTCAGTTCTAGTTCAGTTCTAGTTCAGTTCTAGTTCAGTTCTAGTTCAGTTCTAGTTCAGTTCTAGTTCAGTTCTAGTTCAGTTCTAGTTCAGTTCTAGTTCAGTTCTAGTTCAGTTCTAGTTCAGTTCTAGTTCAGTTCTAGTTCAGTTCTAGTTCAGTTCTAGTTCAGTTCTAGTTCAGTTCTAGTTCAGTTCTAGTTCAGTTCTAGTTCAGTTCTAGTTCAGTTCTAGTTCAGTTCTAGTTCAGTTCTAGTTCAGTTCTAGTTCAGTTCTAGTTCAGTTCTAGTTCTAGTTCAGTTCTAGTTCAGTTCTAGTTCAGTTCTAGTTCAGTTCTAGTTCAGTTCTAGTTCAGTTCTAGTTCAGTTCTAGTTCAGTTCTAGTTCAGTTCTAGTTCAGTTCTAGTTCAGTTCTAGTTCAGTTCTAGTTCAGTTCTAGTTCAGTTCTAGTTCAGTTCTAGTTCAGTTCTAGTTCAGTTCTAGTTCAGTTCTAGTTCAGTTCTAGTTCAGTTCTAGTTCTAGTTCAGTTCTAGTTCAGTTCTAGTTCAGTTCTAGTTCAGTTCTAGTTCAGTTCTAGTTCAGTTCTAGTTCAGTTCTAGTTCAGTTCTAGTTCAGTTCTAGTTCAGTTCTAGTTCAGTTCTAGTTCAGTTCTAGTTCAGTTCTAGTTCAGTTAGTTCAGTTCTAGTTCAGTTCAGTTCTAGTTCAGTTCAGTTCTAGTTCAGTTCAGTTCTAGTTCAGTTCTAGTTCAGTTCTAGTTCAGTTCTAGTTCAGTTCTAGTTCAGTTCTAGTTCAGTTCTAGTTCAGTTCTAGTTCAGTTCTAGTTCAGTTCTAGTTCAGTTCTAGTTCAGTTCTAGTTCAGTTCTAGTTCAGTTCTAGTTCAGTTCTAGTTCAGTTCTAGTTCAGTTCTAGTTCAGTTCTAGTTCAGTTCTAGTTCAGTTCTAGTTCAGTTCTAGTTCAGTTCTAGTTCAGTTCTAGTTCAGTTCTAGTTCAGTTCTAGTTCAGTTCTAGTTCAGTTCTAGTTCAGTTCTAGTTCAGTTCTAGTTCAGTTCTAGTTCAGTTCTAGTTCAGTTCTAGTTCAGTTCTAGTTCAGTTCTAGTTCAGTTCTAGTTCAGTTCTAGTTCAGTTCTAGTTCAGTTCTAGTTCAGTTCTAGTTCAGTTCTAGTTCAGCTTCTAGTTCAGTTCTAGTTCAGTTCTAGTTCAGTTCTAGTTCAGTTCTAGTTCAGTTCTAGTTCAGTTCTAGTCAGTTCTAGTTCAGTTCTAGTTCAGTTCTAGTTCAGTTCTAAGTTCAGTGCTATTTCAGTTCTAGTTCAGTTCTAGTTCAGTTCTAGTTCAGTTCTAGTTCAGTTCTAGTTCAGTTCTAGTTCAGTTCTAGTTCAGTTCTAGTTCAGTTCTAGTTCGTTCTAGTTCAGTTCTAGTTCAGTTCTAGTTCAGTTCTATTCAGTTCTAGTTCAGTTCTAGTTCAGTTCTAGTTCATTTCAGTTCTAGGAATTATGTGGTTGCCAAATTATCCGTTTTTACCAATTGTCCGTAGCCATTGTACATTTATTATTAAAATATCATTATTGTAATTTAAAAAACTTAAGTATTTTCATTTAAATTGAATAAAATTCTCTACTTTTCAAACCAACCACAACATAAAAATCATAATAATTTAGTATTTTTCATTAATTACCAAAATGTTGTTTACTTAATAACTTATAACAGCAAACACTTAATTGGAGTAGAGTTTTTGTTACAAAAATGTTTTTAAAAACCACTTGAACATATAATTACTATTTATATTTATTTATTACTATATTTTATAAAAATGTTTAGCAATAAAATATGCAAAATTTTTCACTATTTTTTATTTAAATTAATATTTTTTCGAGACTTAATGACGACATCAAGGACAATTGTATGATTACGCGTTCGTTTGAAACGAAAAAAAAAACTACAAAAAAAAATATACAGAAACAAAACTATGAAATAAAATAAACTAAAACTATGTCATACACTATGTATCGTAGTTAGAATAAAGTATAAATGCTATTGAAATCGAAAAAACTAAAAAAAAGGAAGAAAAAATAAAACTTGACATGAAATAAGAGGGGAAAGTATTTTTAGTTTCTGTTTTTGTTTTTGTAGTAGTTCTGCTCTTAAGTACAAGAAGTCTGCCGCCGCGTCTGACGCCAAGTTTCTTGTTTTTTTCAGAATTTTTTTCTATCAGTATTATTAAATATTTTTTAGTAATTTATTACAAGTAATATTAGAAATGAAAGATTTTTTTAAAACTTTATTAACTTTTTTTGTTAATGCACACTTTTGATTACACAACACACTTCTATGAAATAAACTTTAAAAAGGAAAATTTAAATTACTTTTTTCCTTTTAATTTATTTATATTTTTTTATTAATTCCACCTTTAATTACTTCACTACCACCACCCCTTTTTTTTAAAAAAAAAACTCTTTAGTAAAATTTTGTCTTTAGTTTTGTTGTTGTTTTTTATTATTATTATTGTTATAAGCTATATTGTTGTTGCTTTCAAAACTACTTTCTCCCTTTCACTTTCTTTTGGAATTCACTTTTTTAAAATTTTTTTTATTATTATTTTTTTAAGTTTTCGCGTTTATTTATTTTAACCACGTCTGTTGCTTAAGAACTCTGAGGACGGACTGTTGCAATAGTTGTGAATGTTTCCTTTTCAAACACTTGTAGTTTAGACTTTAAGGACTTTATTGTGAAATTCACCTCTAAGGCAAAAAGAGCAAATGGTTGTTTTCAAGAGAGAGTTTAGAAGTTATGAAGTAATTAAAGGGTTAACATTTAATATGTTATTTAACCGATTAACCGATTAAATAAACTGCTTTGAAAGTTCTAGTTCAATAGCAGTTCAGTTGTAATTCATTTCTAGTTCAGTTCTAGTTCAGTTCTAGTTCAGTTCTAGTTCAGTTCTAGTTCATTTCTAGTTCAGTTCTAGTTCAGTTCTAGTTCAGTTCTAGTTCAGTTCTAGTTCAGTTCTAGTTCAGTTCTAGTTCAGTTCCTCCTCCTTTCATAAGTCCTTTAACGACTCTTTCAAATTTCTCTTAAAAACTTGACACTGCGCATTAACTTACACTCGTCATTGTTTTTGTTTAGAAATTCACCACATTTATTAAACTTATATTTAATACAATTTATTAAATCGTTGTATTTTTTTTTTTCTTTAAATACTTTTGAAATAACATCTATCCTTCAACAATCCTTCTTGTTGGCAATTTGTCAATAAATATTTATGAACAATATGTTTATCTTAAGAAAACAGCTTCATGTTGTCTTTTTACACATTATATCCTTCCATTAATTTCCATTTTATTCTTAAGAAGAAGGAGTAATGGGAGTATTAAGATTTAAAGTTTCCAATTGGGTATTTTGAAAAAAATCAAAGAATTGCACGCGTTTGCTTTTGTTCAGTTTTTTTATCAGAAACTTCTCCATAACGAAAACGTAAACAAACAATACTTGTAAGAAGAGTAACGGTGATAAATAGTATTTAGAATATATTCACCTTGTTTTTACATATTTATATAAGTTTGTGTAAAAATATGTACATATACATACATACGTATGTAGATATGTATGTGTAAGCACATATGTATGAGAATATAATTGTTTTCATGTATGGGTGAGTCATTGTTATAAAGTTGTTCGTAAACAATAACGGGTTTACTAACTAACTAACTAACTAACTAACTAACTAACTAACTAACTAACTAACTAACTAACTAACTAACTAACTAACTAACTAACTAACTAACTAACTAACTAACTAACTAACTAACTAACTAACTACTAACTAACTAACTAACTAACTAACTAACTAACTAACTACTAACTAACTACTAACTAACTAACTAACTAACTAACTAACTAACTAACTAACTAACTAACTAACTAACTAACTAACTAACTAACTAACTAACTAACTAACTAACTAACTAACTAACTAACTAACTAACTACTAACTAACTAACTAACTACTAACTAACTAACTAACTAACTAACTAACTAACTAACTAACTAACTAACTAACTAACTAACTACTAACTAACTAACTAACTAACTAACTAACTACTACTAACTAACTAACTAACTAACTAACTAACTAACTAACTAACTAACTAACTAACTAACTAACTAACTAACTAACTAACTAACTAACTAACTAAAACTAACTAACTAACTAACTAACTAACTAAAACTAACTAACTAACTAACTAACTACTAACTAACTAAACTAACTAACTAACTAACTAACTAACTAACTAACTAACTACTAACTAACTAACTAACTAACAACTAACTAACTAACTAAAACTAACTAACTAACTAACTAACACTAACTAACTAACAACTAACTAACTAACTAACAACTAACTAACTAACTAACTAACTAACTAACTAACTACTAACTACTACTAACTAACTAACTAACTAACTAACTAACTAACTACTAACTAACTAACTAACTAACTAAAAACTAACTAACTAACTAACTAACTAACTAAACTAACTAACTAACTAACTAACTAAAAACAACTAACTACTAACTAACTAACTAACTAACTAACTACTAACTAACTAACTAACTAACTAACTAACTAACTAACTACTACGAACTAACTAACTAACTAACTAACTAAACGTAACGAAACACTAACTAACTAACTAACGAATAACTAACTAACTAACTACGAACTAACTAACTAACTAACTAAACTAAACTAACTAACTAACTAACTAACTACTAAACTAACTAACACTAAATAACTGACTGACTGACTGAAATATTTTAACTCGTTGGCGCCATATTATTCTAATCCAAATTTACACAGTCTTTATTGTTCAGCCTTCTACCTTTTTAGGTAACGGCGTATATTTCTGTTTCTGGGTCTTCAATACAGAACATCATTTAGAGGTCATCTGTGTAGCAACAGATTCCTACTTATTGGTTAATTACAGCTAAGATTTCCTACCGTTTAAAACCTTTCACCTTCCTAAGATTTATCTTTGTAATTAGACACTGTTGCCGGTTTTAAATTATGATACAGTTAAATCTTTATTTTATTTTACACAAACATTCTTAAATATACATTATGAATTAAATTAATTTGTTTAATTTATATTTCTAACTCTTAAATGCTGTGTCGACGTTCTTATTTGCCTTAACACTCGATACAATTGCAATAAAAGTGTCCATAATAAAGAAAATACTAAAACACACATTCCATGTTCATAGAAGTTTATGAAAACACCATAAACATTTAGCATTTTCCAGGGAATAAATAACACAGCGATGAAATGTCTGAAATGGTTAGTTAATGGATGTATTGGTGGTGATGGTGAGGTGGTCAGGTTTGTTGTTGTTATTGTTTTCGTTGACTATGAAGCTAAAATCGTTTGTATCCATGGTAAATATGTGGCAACATTAACATAAACACCAGGTACACCTGCTGAGGCACAACCAATACCCCATGCCACCATACCGACCACATACCAAATGCCATTACTTTGACAAACTAAAGGTGAACCACCGTCGCCCTGTAAATGAAGGAAAAAACTGTTACCGAAACTTATAGTGGCAACTGCTTAATGCCCCTCATGAAGCATTTTTAATTATATTCATAACAATAATTATGGTTGTTGTTGTTGTTGTTATTGTTATTTTTGCCAATCGTACTTACCGTACAGGCATCTTTACCCGCCTCCCCACCGGCACATATAAAACTGGAATTGTTTAGAACAAAAGTGGCACCTAAACGTGTATTACGCAGGGCCGCTTGACAATTGGCATTGGGTATTAGCGGTACATCTACTTCACGTTGTATTGCCTGATAGGCACCAGTGGGACCAAAATCATTTTTACCCCAACCAGCTACATAACAACGTTGACCCACAAATGATATGCTGGGCAAACAAATGGTACCAATGGTTGATTTCGAAGTCAACGATACCGGGGTGGCCAATTTTAAAATGGCCACATCATTTTGTAGATTATCTTTATTGAAATTGGGATGTATATAAATATTGGAAACCATCACATCTTGAGCTGGTATAGGTTCAGCAGTACCGGCTGCATCCCATTCTCCTAAACGTACTTTGAAAGAGTTCATGCTAATAACAATATTAGAAAACAGTTATTTTTTGGAATTTAAATAAACATTTTGAACTTACGCCACATTGTACACCTTGTGAGCCACCGTCAAGACATGTTGCGCCGTTATTAGAGCTCCAGAACCCAAATATACCTCAGTGGTAGTTAGCAATGCTGCCTGCCAGGGATATTCACCAAATTCAGCTTGACCAGGACCAGCGGGTAAACTACCAGGTGGTGGAGGATAATGATGACCACACTGATAGGGACCCGCCTGGCAGCAAACACTTAAACCATAACTACAGGTGAATGGTGGCGGAGTAGTGACTACCACAGGCTAAATAATTATAAATTAAAGTAAATTTGTTTTAATTACCAAATTCAATTCCTTTAGTACTTACATTATTTACTATACGTATATCGATCTGACCACTACCATCAGTGGGTGGGGGTGGTAAGGGATTTGGACAGGAACCAGCCGGTACACATATACAATGAGAGGGTGTATTCACGATGTTGGGAGTTAGAGAGTTCCACTTATTAGTTGACGTGTTAGTGCTAAAGGTTAATGGAAATATGAAGATGTTATTAGCCATGCATTAACCACTTTAAA